ACGTACTTCGGCAAAAGCTGGTGAACATTATGTTTCTGAGCTTTTATAAGTTGTAAATTTTGGTTTGTTACTTTATTTATTGGTTCAATAGATGTATTTAAAGACTCTGATTTCTGCGTCAATAGATTTTCTCGCGTTACCAAAGATTAAACTTTAGAAAAGTATGTACCAAGAGCCTAGAAAGTGAGAGCTTAGAAAGAGTATGTACCATTTTTAGATATTCATTTGGAGCCTTCTTTCAGTCTTTCCTTTACCGATTAATAACGATGCTTATTTTACACTTAAAAAATTTGAATACCATGCATTTCAGAACAGTTGCGAATTATGGAATCGGAATATTTCTCTTCGGAAAGCTAAAAAATATACCCTAAAAAATTTGAATACCATGTATTTCAGAACAGTTTTGAATTATGGAATCAGAATATTTCTCTTCCGAAAGCGTAAAAATATACCCTCAAAAATTTAACTAACGAATTGCTTTTCAATGTCTGATATTTTTTAAGTGGAACTCCATATTTTAATATAAATTTATTTAAAAATTAACCTGCAACATTTTTAGAGGAAACGTTTTCGAGAGGAATTATTTCTACACACTTTGAGAAATATCCGCAATTACAAGCAAATGCTTATTTTTTCACTTATGGCTAGGGACCTAATAGATCAATTCCTGTTAATTCATTAGGGAATGTAGCTTTTATACTACTTAGATAGCCGGGCCTATAGTTGGCCGGACTATAGATAGCCACCGAGTTACAATTAATATTGTTCAATAACTGGCAAATGCTACAGGATTTGGCAAGTTTTCAGCCTAATTTTACTTATTTGTTGCAAGATTGCATCTACGTACATAAGAAACTTTATTTTTTCCCAAATTCAATCAACTAAGAAATTTTTTTTTTCCTGTTTACGTAAAAAACTCATTCGGTGTAGAATGTAAACAAACGCTGCTGTAACGTTTGAGCTAAAACCTCACCTCCTCAAATGCTTGAAATTGACAAAACTTTATTGATTCATTAATACTTATCTACTAATTTGCAACTAACTTCATGTTTTGCAAATTCGCAATATTTTTAATAATCTGGAACTGCCATTAAATTCCCTATTCATCATCATTTGCTATCATCTACCTCACCCTTCATCGACCACCAAATATCCTGGGATGCCAGCCTCTAATGTTTATTGCCTATTTTTGAAGGCGCTCTGCTCACTACAAATGCTCAACCAAAATTAATACAAGTGAACAGCCATAAGGCTAGGTACTTGTTTCTAATGAAATAATTCGATTGGCATATTCTGTTAAATTTTTGTGGCTGTGGAAAATAAACAGCTTTCCTTATTCTCTGGAGTATTTTTCTTATTCTGAGATGGTCTGAAATTGGCACATTATGCAATTCCTGCAAAATACTTAATCTTAAATTCGCTGCGACAGCCGTTCTTAATTCATTATTATGATTTGTTACTTTGGAGTAAAACAAAATATTATTATTATTGTAACTAACAAAAGACTATTAAATTTTTTAGTGGCTCTATTTATTATACGAGCAAAGTCTTTGATAAAAGCCCTATAATAGGAGCACAAACCCCAAAACGAGGCAACTTTTTTGCTGTATTAGGTGGCGGATAATTTTTTATCGCTACTATTTTAGAATCTTCTATTTCAATTCCCCTTTGAAATATCTTATAGCTCAGGTAACGAAGTTCTTCGTGTAAATCCCGAATATGTCCATGAATTGTCTCGCTAGTAACTATTACATCGCCTAAGTAAATAAACGTAGATTTACTGAAGGCAGGTCTTACCAGCAGCTCTTTGAAACGCGCAGGGTACTACGCATAAGCTGAACGGCATTCTACACTTTATAACAAAAAAATCGACGCATAAAGAAGGAGTTGTCCGATAGAGACAAAAACTGGTGGATCTCAGTAAGGTGTTGACCCACCTCCTAGCTTGGATGCAAGCTGCCACACGGCGTGGCATAGACTGACAAAGCTCCTGGATGGTCTCTTGCGGTATTTCTTGCAAAATTTGCTCCAACTGTAGGGATAGGTCATCAACATTCCCTGGTAGATGCAGTCGCCTTCCCATCATATCCCAGACATGCTCGATGGGAGAGAGATCTGGCGACCTGACTGGCCAAGTAAGTGTTTGAAAAGCCGTAAGACAGTTCATAACAACACATGTTGTATGTGGTCCGGCATTATCTTGCTGAAAAATAAGGACAGGGTACTCCAAAAGGAACGGTAGCAAAACAGGTCTCAGAATGTCGTCGACGTACCGCTGTGCTGTAGCTTTGGTTCTAATGACGACCAAAGGGGTTCGGCTATCAAGGGAAATGGCACCTCAGACCATAACGCCTGATTGAGTGCCTGTGTGGCATGCAATAGTGAAAGTAGGATCGGCACGCTGCTCTGGGCGTCTCCAGACACGTCTTCGTCTTCGATGATCGTCACAACACAGTTGGAAATGGAATTCGTCGCTAAAGACTATACGTCCCTAGTCAGTCTCATTCCAACCTGATCAAGCCAAGCACCATTGTAATTTGGCTCGACAGTGTGCAGGCCTGAGTGGCGTAACGGTCGGTATGAGCCTAGATTTCGCTCTAGCAGCCGTCTGTGAATGGTCATGGTGAACACTCGTGTGCGAGTCGCACGTCTGATGAAACAGGCGCACGTCTGATGAAACAGGCGATGAAACAGGCGCTGTGACAGCTAATCTGACAATTACTCTGTCCTCCCGATCTTTTCTGGCCCTAGGTCGACTGATCATGATGCTAAAATTTGCCATTGTCATCCCATTTTTGCCAGCATCTTCTAATCGCCACATTGCATGGACTCATATGACGAGCGATTCTCCGATTTGCCCAACCTGCCTCTTTCAATCCAGTGATACGAGATCTTTCAAACTCTGACAATTGCTTGTAATGAGCTCGAATCCTGCGGCGAGGCATTTTTTTCAGTTACTGAAAGGTATCCTAAATCGCAATGAAACAGAAATTTTTAACCAACAGTTTAAGAACAGCTCCTTATATACATCTGCTGGATGCGCGGTTCCGATGTGCTGGTGATCGCACTATTCATTCACTAGACACCAAACTTTAACCATTTGCATATTTAGTCCAAAGATGCGAAATTTCAAAGCAATCGGATGATTCCTTCTTGGTTAATCGATTTTTTATTTTTCTGTTTTTTTTTTTTTTTTTTTTTTTTTTTTTTTGTTGTTGTTGTTACAGAGTGTAAGAAAAGCTTGAACTCCCGATTTGGTAATAAACGTAGGTTTGGGAAGATTCTCTGGTTTCACACATATCTGAAAATATCCAAAAGTTAAGTATTTAGTTTTATTTCATTAATATAAGAACTACTTTTCAAAGTTATGGTATTTACTAACATTTTCTACACTTTTCTAGTTTAATTTATAAAATACATTAAAATTAAATAATTTTATATGCATTTTTCGAGTTTTGGAATGGGAGGGATGCTCGTCTAACCATGGTGAAAGGGGAGAAAGGACCAAAAAAGGTTGAGAATCCTTGCTTTATAGCATTTTAAGTTTTTCCTAAAAAAAAAATGCTTTACCCTAAAATCTACTTTGCGCTTCCTTTGTCCAATAATACATGTGCTAGTACAGCGTTTAACAGAATTTGAATCATTAGGAGAAACAATTTTTTAATCAACATAATTATTATTTCAACTGAATATGTGAGAAATTTTTCCCTCTCCGGGCTGACTGTGCCCTCTGTATTTTAGTACTCATGATTAGTTTAAATCCTTAGTATCTTCACTTAATTTCCTCGTTTGCGATTTATTTTGGCGATCGGCATTTGAAAATCTCTGTGAAAGTTTCTTCCGTTTATCAAAACGTCTACTGCTGCAAGACCTAGGCTTCCTTCTTCTACAGAAATATCCGCTCGACCTCTGCTCATATCCCGCTGTGCGTATACCCGTTGATACTCGCCTACTTTGGAATTTCATTCTCTAGCTCAAATAACTGGCTGAGCGATCTTTCACCACTGGGAATAGGCGGTTTTAAATACGTCATACTTGTAATTCTTATTAACTGATTCACCCAACAAAAATTTACGATGTCTTTGAACCAGCTGAATACCTGTCCTCGAAGCGCGGCGGTACCTATGGTGGCATTCAGTAATTCTGCTACCAGGAAAAGTAGAAAGTGCGTCTCTAAATGTTCCTAAAATGTCACTGTTGAATTCTACCATTAAACATAATGATTGGTTTCATCCAAGCTCACAGTGTCTAGGATGAAACCGAAGCCTTCTATTAGATTTCCTAGTGTCAATGGAGCCTGAATTCTTAGGGGTGAGGATGGCAAGGTGGGCTTTGTCTTGTGACATGATCCGTAATTTGTTGGATTGTCACTCTGATCTGGTAATGCACGCGATGCCAGAAACACGCTTTGCCTTTAAATACAAAAACTTCAGTTTAAACAGCAGCTAGTCATTTGCATTCTGGTGAGGAATACGGAACGGAGAAGTTATAGTAAAGGCTGAAATTATAAATAATTGATTAATTAACATAAAATTCTCCAAACAAAAATTTTTTAGCATTGCAAAATATATACGAAAAAATGTAAAATAATGGTTGATTTTTCTTTTTGAGTTATTTAAATCATACAAAGAAATAATGAAACTGTCTATGAATCATGTTCAAAGGAAGTTATTAGAATAACAGTTAATTTAACCGTAATTCGTAAATATAAAGCTAGGCTTATTTAGTTAAAGAAATTACATTAATCATCATGTCAGAATGTTTGAGAAAGAGGTATTGTTTAAAAACTATTAAATTCCAGATTTGCAAATTAAAGGTATTAAAAATATTGGATTTATATTTTATATAATTCTTAGCACAGTTATCATGCCTTACATACTATACATTAAAACAATAATGTAGTAAACATAAATAGGATTATGAATCAGATTTGAAGAAGGAGAAAAGAAACGTTATTTTGAGAGATAATTAATTGAAAGTTCAGACTAACATAAAATTACCATCATCTGGGTAATCTGGTTTCAAAAACTGCACTAGTAGTCTCCATATCTGAATATTTCTTATCAAAATACTTTGTTCATCATAAACTTTTAAATATCCATGTGTTGTCCCTATAACTATGCAGCTGCTATTTTTATGAATGCTCAAAACAGTAGGAAAACCTATAAGATTAAATAAATGAGTATCAATAATTTTAAAAATGCATCACTCTGAAAATACTGTAGTAAATGTCAATATAAATCACTCAATCATTATTTTTTTCTTTCCTGTAAGACACACACTTCTTAAAGCCTGAAAATAAACATATTTCGGAGAATTTAGAGATCAGCATACTTATCTGCCATCTATGATTCTGAACTTTTGCACTTTACAGATTTAGTTAAACTAAGTTTGGCAACTTATAGTTTTAAATCTTATTAAAAAATTAATCCTCAGTCCATAATGTTGCTTTTACTTAAAACTATCCATATTGTATACTTTAGGAGCTATTGAATAAAAATTTATCAATAAATAATGATATTCTTTCAACTATATTGATATAATTTCTTCTTTAAGGATAATAAGTCATTCTTTGATAAGGTAGATTAAAACGCGATTTTCTGAAGCTCAGAATTCACCTCACCTAAAATTTTGGTGGCCCCTTATCTTAAAATAGATGGTGCAATTATTACTTTTTAAAAAATTATTCGGGGCACCTAGAAATGCAAGACAACTACACTTGTGATTTACATTACAACATAAATTTACCTCTGAACATATGCATACAAGTATTTGTGGGTTATTTTTTATTCTCACTGAATGGCATAAAGACAGACTTTTCTTCCCCGGCATATTTTCTCTCATGTGACACTTCAAGAACTTTGTATATTCATTATTAAAGGGTCAACACCATAGAAATAACATATCCAATAAAAAAACACTTAAATGCTTTTTACAATATTACAACTTTTAGCTGCTATTAGTGTATTAGAAGACTACGTTATTGACCGAACAGCGATTTTAGAATCTCATTGCATTTCATTAATAGTATTTTAATCAAATATTACTTATAGACATTATTAATCATTTTAAAATTTAATTACTTATGTAACCAATCCTTTAATATAAACTCTGCTGTTGATATAAACTATGGTGGATTCACTCTAGCAACGAGGGTGCCGTCTGGTGAGTAGCCAGAGAAAGACTTCAGTAAAGGCCAAGTGATGAACCTGTTAGGTTGTATCAGACCCATGCTATAATTCTTAAAATGTGCATAATTCGTAAATATAAAATATGTATATTACTTATAATTTCCTGTATAATTCTTAAAATTATATGTTATATCCGTGTGTAAACTTAACAATTGTAATAAATTATTGTTAAACTGTACAGGAGTCTTTTATGACCCCATTCAACACGACTCCCTATACTTATAAGAATGTAATTTTCTTCTACTATATTTCATGACCAAAATATTTTCATAAAAATTTTCAAATGTTCAAGTATTAAAAGTCTGTAAGATTTCGTTCGATGGCACATTCTTTCCTTATATTATACGAGCACATTGAGCAATGAGATACTTGCTTCTTATTGTCATACTAACTGAAATACTATAACTCTAGAAATGTCTTTTTTATCATGTACTCAAAACAATTTTTAAGCTCCAAAGATCTCTTACAAAAAATGTTTAACTTAAGTTCTGCATACTTTTGCATAATTAGTCAATATAAAAATACGTCCTAAGTAGATTTATGAAATATCAGATGAGGAAAACTAGTCTAAGTAAAAATTATCATAACTTATGCTATAGCTATTTTCCAAATCCCACGAAATCGATTAAATCATTTAGCATGGTTTTAATGCCTAACTGAGTATTAATATTATAATTCAGTATCTGATTCTAAAAGAAACTGAAAATCCAAACTGCAGTTTTATTTAAGACTTTGAATAAGATAGCATTTCAAAGTCAGTACATTCTGGTTATCTGCATCCCCATGAAAAGTTGCCAGCTTAATGACAACTTCATACATTGTTGAAAAACTTTAGTTTGGCAACTTTACAGCTCATAAGTACTGTTTGATTCATAAATAATTATAAAGAGAGGCATTTCATTAGAAACTTGAAGGAGCAAAAATGCAAGAAAAAACGGAAATACATACAGCCAGTATCTCTACTTTTACAGCAGGCAGGGAAAACATTGATCAGTGAAATGATGGCAAAACATAAAGTGAATAAATCCACATGTACTCAAACATATATGCAGTATATGCATTTGAATATTGCTGGTGTTAGCTATTTTTGCATGCATACTAAAAAATGTGCCATAAACAAGGCAGTACCAACAAACATTGAAACCAGAGATGCAACTAACCAGAAAATATCATAAAGCCCCTTCCTCCCTTTTTTTTAATAACAAAATATAGAAATTGAAATAAAAATGTCAGTAATGGTTAGGACCAAAGTAATTCATTTCATAGGTTAATCTTCCAAACATGAAGTTTTTATAAAAATTCTTCTAAATTTGAAATTTTCCGTGCATGAAAGTATGCAAAACATATTAAAAAGAAATACAAATTAATATATAATTAAAATATTAAATTTTATATAAAGGAAAAAATGAGAAACATTCACAGAAAAAAGAAATAAAAATTATGAGAAGAATACCAGGAGAAAATATTTTTCTGTTAGAATTTCTTGACTTGACAAATCATAAATCTGAAAAACAGGTATTATTTAGAATAAATAATTTATAATTCTAGACATAATGCTATTACATTATCAAAAGAATAACCAGATAAAAAATTTTATATAAAATATACCTTAAAACTCGAATATTTTCCAAATGTATACTAATGAGGATATTATTTCACAGAACAGTTCCAATAAACAATATCAGTGTAATCAGCATTTAATATGGAATGCTTTGTAATTAAAATTAAACCGCCCCCGAAAATATCTTTAATTCGAAGCACATGCTTTTTACAGTATTAAAAATTCTTAATTTTACCTTTAAAATATTTTCATCTACTCCATACATTTTTTTATTCTCTGCTTCGAAGATGAACACGTTGAAGTTGATATCTTTAAGACAAATGCACCAGGTATTTTCCTGAGAGAAAAAATATTAATTAAAATTATACAATAATAATGTTTTTGAACCACAAACTGGCTAAAATAGAGTCTTTTATTAATAATGAATTTAAAATGAAAAAAATCTGATGTGTACACCACATGACTTCCTCGTACAGAATATTAAATTATACGCATTTTTCTTGCATTTCATTTGAACTTATTGGATTAAATTAAATCTACTTCGTCGATAGCACATATACCACAATAGAATAAATGCGCTCTTTAAAATTCACTATATTTGTTTGCCATAGCGACACTCTGGCGCTAGGTTCGGGTAAAGTGAGGAATCGCCCACTTATTTGTTTGGCGCTTTTTACAAGAGTAAGAAGAATTGGATTTTTGTCAATTTTCTTTGACTTTTTAAATGAAAATAGGTCGATTTGTATATGGATAAAGTCAAGGGAAAGCGCAATGCAATTTTTGTGCAATTCTGGGATTTTATTTAAGTGAAAATAGGTCGATGTGTACATGGATACAGAGTATGTGCAATTCTTAAAAAGGCGCCAAGCAGTGGGTGATTCTGCACTTTCCCCCTAGGTTCATTTAACAGCGTTACATTTCATTCATTTTTATAACGGTAGATCGATAGATTGGCAGTTATGTAGCGAAGTTATGTCCCAAGTATCACTTAAAGTTCATAGCTTTGAGAAACGTAAGTTCGTGAAATTCTGAAAATTCGGAGGAAAATCTATGGCTGGAGCATGGCATGTGAAATCGTCATCTTTAAAATCAGTCTCTTGAGTAGTAGCAATCTCATGGCTCCTTTTTATAACTCAGAATGCATAGAATTTATATCATCTGAAGAATAATCTAATCATTGCCACATTTCTACTAAAATACTGTTGCGTGCGTACGGGTTCGTTACGAAATGAATGCACAAGTCCGATAAAAAAAATGAAAAATTTATTATTATCACAACAAAAATGCTTAAATTTTCTCAAATTATCATGCAGTATTACAATATCTCACAGTAGTTATCTTTAACTACTCAAATGTTCCAATAGAACGTAATTCAAAAACAGCTAAAGAACGCTAATCCGCGAATTCGCTACAATCAACAAGAGCAGTTTTTTTAAACAAACTCTTAAACAACAACAAACTAAGCTAACTACTCGAATTGAGATGTTTTCCTCCTTTTATAAGATTTTAAAATCACGCGCTAGAATTTTCCAGTACTTTCTCGAAATAAAAAGAGATATTTATTTAATTTAATGCACGCGCTCTTGTATTTTCAATTTTCCGGCTTAGCTTTCTTTTAATATTCGTCACGCGCTGCACTGCGCGGGAAATAAAACCATTTAATTTATAACTGAACTAACATTAGCTTTTTAAATACCAAATTCGTAACACTGTCCCCTTCCCAAGGACTGCACGTCCTGGGCAGTACAATCCCTGTACAGGAAGCCAAACTTACAACTGTGGCATAAATGATTTGAAAGTGTGGCATAAATGATAAGCAACCAACTGTGGCATAAATGATAAGCAACCAACTGTGGCATAAATGACAAGCATTACATTACAATAATAAACAACATGAATAATAAATGCAATAACTAACTTAAACAAATCAAATGCTATCAAATACTAAATACAATACAAATACTAAATACAAATCAAATGCTATCAAATACTAAATACAAAACAAATACTAAATACAAATCAAATACACATTCAGAAACAAAAAGGACCATGGTCTTACACTATTTACAATTATTTACATTACGTACTATGGCCATAGTAATTAGCTAACCTGTCGCAATGAACGATTTTAGGTTTAGAGTTCCGACGGATCTGAACCACAACGTTATTCAGCCTGTTTAGGACTGTGTGGTGACCATCCCAAGGTGACTGCAATTTAGGCCTGACTCCTTTTCGTCGAATCGGGTTCCACAACCACACCTTGTCTCCTTTGTTGGATCTATGTCCAGTAGCTCTCGTGTTGTATCTGGACTTCACTTTCTCCGTCGTCAAGTTCACTCGCTTTCGTGCGTAACGGTGCATCTCTTCAAAACGGGCCTTCGCATCTTGGATATGTTCCTCAGTCGATGAAGGCGCATCCGTATGGCGATCAAACAGGCGGTCAAAAGGCAGACGAAGGTCACTACCGAAGAGCATTTGTGATGGGGAATAGCTGGTAGTCTTGCGTTTCTTTTCGACCCTAGTATGATTTCGGCAGCTTCCCGAGCTATGCTGAAAGCAGTTTGTTGTTTTTCAGGTCTATGGAAAAATTGTATTTCCTTAAAAAGTGCAATCCGAGTATGCATGGATCTGTAATATCCGCCACATAAGCCGTGTGATGGTAGGCGGCACTTCCGAACGTGATGTTCACGTTTAACTTCCCAGCTATGTCGATCTTGATTGATGATAACATTACAGATTTTGAGTTTTAAGTGGGTCTGCATTTAAAGATAAAAATGGATGTTGATATGTTGAAGAAAAAGCGTGCAACGGCACGCAGTGCCTTTACTAGGACGGCTAAGATTCTAAAAACCGAACTTTGTAAAGATGTTCAAGCGGATAAAGATGTATTGAAAGACAAAATTTTGAAGTTGCAGATGATAATTGCTGAGTTGAGATGCGATTCAGAAATACTAGATTCAATGATTAAGGAAAAAGCCGCTGAAGATGATCTGGAAACAGAGATCATAGGCTGCGAAGAATATTCAGATGAGTTTATCATGCTTAATCGTCGGGTGAAAGAGAATATAGATAATGCGGTTGACCGTAGCGTTAATACGAGTTCTAACACGGATAGTAGCATAAGTGCTTCTAATGGAAAACCATACAAGTTGCCGAAAATTCAAATTAAAAAATTCGATGGACAATAATTAAGTTACCTTACATTTTGGGGTCAATTTAAGAAGATCCATGAGGATAAGGAGCTTAATAACGTTGACAAATTCCATTATTTAGCTCAATCAATGTTACCCGGAACTCGGGCTAGTGAGTTGATAGATAGTTATCCTTTAACGGCTGAAAATTACCCGAAAGCTATTTCTGCGTTTGAGAAGCGTTTTGAAAACAAGGAAATTTTAACTGAGATATATGTGAAGGAATTGTTAAAATTAATTATCCAAAATGTACGCTCACAAGGGAAGGATCGGTTGCCGCTAGTGTCACTCTTTGACAAAATCGAATCCCAGCTCAGATCTCTAGAATCTTTAGGATTAACCCTGGATACTAATGTTTCCTGGTTATATCCCATGGTCGAGTCTTGTCTGTCTGCTGAGATGCTTCGAGTATGGCAGAGAAGCGTTTTGTTCAGTAAAGAAGGATCACGTCTCACAAATCTCCTGGAATTTTTGCGTAAAGAGGTCGAAGGAGAGCAGAGAAAGTTAAAGGAAGAAACTAGCCAGGTCTGGATTTGAAATTTCTTCTACTTCGCGCAATGAACATTCTAAAGATGTAAAAGTTAAGACCAAAAAAAAACCAATCGCTAATGCGCAGCAAGTCTAGTTGCTGTCAAAGAACAAAAATGTGTTTTTTGCGGAAAATCTCAAGAAAGCGAAGAATGTTTTACAGCTTGATCGATGTGCTTAAAGGAAAGATTAGACAAATTAAGAAAATTAAAATGCTGCCTTCGCTGTCTTAAATCAGGGCATTTTGCGAAGCAGTGTCCACAGTTTATTCAATGCTATTTGTGTAGGCGATCTCACCCTATAATTTTATGCCCGGAGGTATCAGAGAATAATGCTGACAATAAGGAAAAGCGAAAAGAGTCAGTAACGGTACAAAGTACAATGTCTTCTCCCTTATGTATGAATGAAGTCACACTTATGACTTTAATGGTTGAAGCAGTTGCAGATAATGTAAAGAAGATCGTCAGGTGCCTCTTGGATTGTTGGATCCCAGCGATCTTACGTTTTACAATCCACAGCTTGAAAGCTTTAAATCTGAAAAGCACTTCCTCCTGAAACTTTAACTCACGCGTTATTTGGCGGAACAAGGACTGAGTTCAAAAATTCACAAGAGATATTCTATAGGTCTAAGCCCGGTTGGGAAAAGACAAAGTGTACCAATTTAGTTTTCTGGATCAAAATACCCATTTGTGGAGGCATACCACGCATACCTAAAGGTCTGTTATTGAAGGAATTAAAAAGACACAGAATTTGGATTTCAGATGTCGGTGAGGGTCACCCGGAAATAGAAATCCTCATAGGGAGTGATATTTATGGGCAAATACTTACTGGTGAAGTAATTCAGCTTGAGGGTGGTTTGACAGCCATAAATACTAAACTGGGATGGACGCTGTGCGGGGAATCGAAAAGGAACGATTATCCAAAGTTTTGAGGGTACCCCATCTATGTTAGTAACTAATCTTCTTATTCAAGACATGGAACCTTCCTGTTATGTGGAAAGTTAGAAACTATCGGCATTGCAGATGACGCTGCAGAGCATTTCCAGGGTCGCAGAAGATCCAAGCAGCGAAAGAGCAGTTTCTTAGGGGCCTTCGCAGAACCGGAGATGGTAGATATTGCGTGAGTTTACCTTGGGCTCTAAAATTCCCCCCCCTGAAATTCCCTCTAACTTGGCATATTGCAGAAAAGAGGCTCTTTGCTACTACGAGAAAATTGAGAAAATTAAATAAATTTGATGAGTATAGTACAGTATTTAACGAATGGCTAGCGGAAAGATGTCATAGAAATTGTCCCCAAAATCAGTAAAGAATGACGGAGGGCATTACTTTACCACACCATCCAGTAATAAAATTAGGTAGCCTCACTACCAAGATTAGGCCTGTATTCGATGCGTCGAGCAAAGTCGTTGGTTCGCTTTCGCTAAATGATTGCTTGATAAAAGGTCCAAACTCTTGTAGAAGAAACCTCAGCCATTCTAATGCGGTTTAGGAAAAGGCAATTGGTGTAACATCCGATATTAGGCGGGCCTTTTTACAGATTGAGGTAGAGCGTGAGGATCAAAATTACTTAAAGTTTTGTGGTGGGTAAATAATAGAATTGAAGTGTTTCGTCACAAGAGGC